AATGCTTCAAAAACATATACGTTTGTATCCACACCTCTGATCCATTTATCAATATCTAAACAATGTTTTCATTGACAAACATGTTGAGGGATTTACAATCTTAATAACAATTGTTTTGTTTTTTCCAATGACACCTGTGCTCACAAATGTTCCCAAACAGTTACATTTCAATGGAAATTATTCAACTGAAATATGTCCATGCTTAATCTTTTAAGGGAAAGTTAATGTCAATTTCCAAATATTTTCTGTAAGCAAGAGCTAATGTCACTGGCCTTATTCCACAAAGTGATGGTGGAGTTCTGTCTGTCGTAGTTCCTATACTTTAACAAAGACTTACGCTACTCGTAGTATTAAGATCCCTTCACAGAACAAATGTCCATGGCCCTACTTCACAAAGCGATCCTAGATCTAGGGCCATCATAATTCCTACACTTAAACACAGACTTCATTAAGCTGTAGCGCTATGATCCCTTTGAGAAACGCTGCGGGCAGCCTGACCACAATTTCAAATCAACAGTGGGCCTGCGGCACACCCAAAGCATCACAAGCTAACTGAAGGGTAGAGTGCATGAGTTGGATATGTGTCTTTGAACATTATTACAATAACATCACTGCCCCTCAGCTTGATTTGTTTTAGGAAAGCTAAAAGAATCTCATGGACGCTAACCACTTTTGTGTTCGTTTGTTGTTTAACACTGCACTCAGCTACATGACAGTGGTCTGTAAGTATTTGAGTCTGGACCAGTCAATTCAGTGATTGGCATGTGCATCGATCTTCGCAATTGGGATATGAGGACATGCATCAACCAAGTCAGCGAGCCTGATCACCCAATCCCTTTAGTCCCTTCATACAACAAGCATAGTCGCCTCTTACGTTGCTGGGGCCTTCTACTCCAGATCTTCACAGGTCAACCATTATTGTGAAACCCACAAGCCCACCTATTGTGCTGAGTCTTCGGATCAGAATGGAGCTTCTTGGATATGACTCCAAAATCAGTGGATCCTAGCTTGTCAAGGGGAGGTAATTATGCACAGTGAACGGCAGTGGTGTAAACAACTGAGGTCTCATACCCTCTGAATGGTGTAACTTTGACTGGTAAAGCAAAACTTTATTCTTATGGTAAAATACATGTCACTGTTTGACAGTATCCATTCACTGAACACAGGAGTGAGTGAGTGAGTGAGTGAGTATGGTTTTTTACGCCGCTTTTAGCAATATTCCAGCAATATCGCAGCGGGGGACACCAGAAATGGGCTTCACACATTGTACCCATGTCGGGAATCGAACCCGGGTCTTCGGCGTGGCGAGCGAACGCTTTAACCACTAGGCTACCCGACCGCCCCCTCTGAACACAGGAACAGTGGGATATCTTCCACACAAAATAACAACATTTCCGACATCAAATTTGCATGTTCTTTATACGACATATTCGGAACAAAAAACGTTTGGGATGACGAATATTTTGGGGGTTATTTTTGGATGTGAATACTAAGCACACGGTTCGATAAATATATCCCAAAAATATTCATGACCCCTAACTTTTTATCCAAGTAAAGTTTGGATACATAGGACAATTTGTTTTATTGAAATAAAACTTTTAGAACCTTTATATATTTATATATTTCGTCATGGCAGAATAGATTCAACTGAAGGAATATCAAAAATTAGACTGGTTTCTATGGCGTTTCAAATCTGCTGAACTTTCATACAAAATTATTTTGGGCCCGATAATTTTCCGTCAACTATTTAAGGTAATTAAATAGCTAACTAGAGAAAAATGTCAGGAAAATAACCACCTCTCACAAGAGTCCTGGCTATTTTTAGTCAATAAGTTGAAACATTACTAAACAATGTCATGAAACAACTTTTCCTCCCTGCTACAATCTGGTCACACTAATCCAGGGAACAAATAAACATTTACCATTAAAGCTTCAAATATCGTTTCATTACAAGATTCTGTCTTCAAGCATGTTGTCTATAAGAAATTAGTGAATACTGAACACCTCTTTAGTGTTTAGACTGGATTGTCACTTCATGTATTTTCATTGGTAACATTTGACTTCATAAAATGGTTAACATCCAGCCCCATTTCACAGAGCAATCAGAGCACTAACACCATCAATGTTGAAAACAGATATACAGAGAACAGTGAAACCGTGTTATTTTGGACCTTGTTAATCTGGTAACCCCGCTTTGGGGACAATTACATTTCAGAACGTCTACATATATACACAAGTCAATACTCCAGGGTTCGTTAATTCGGCCATTTTTACTCGCAGGTGGTTTAACTTTACTCTAACATGGGCTTACAAAATGGAGGGAGCTGGGAGCTGGGAGCTGGGACCTCTTTGCGGAACAGGGCACTGTTCACAACACATTTGTCCAGTTTTCAGCATATTTACAATCTATAAATATATCTCAGTTCACGGTTTCATCCCAATAATAATAATGATATCACCTACCCATCAATGCATTTTTCATGGTCAACCAATCAATGCACACACTCTTTGCACCAATAAAAATTGCCTTAATTATTTTCTTGTGACAATCTTGGTGATGAGGCAGTAGTTTAGGACAGACATTAACATACCAAACAAAAAGTTAGGGATTATGAACATTTTGGGGGATATTTTTTGCAGTGAAAACTAAGCACATAATTTCTTAACACTACCCAGAACACCATTCATAGTCCCCAACTTCTTGGCTCAGTACACATATGATGGGCATCAGATTCAGGGTATTATTTGACAATGAACACACAGGGTCTCTGGCACTGGGGGAAGGTGCAAGGTCTGAGGATTGTACACCGATACTCTCAGGAATCGTTCCAGACCTTGACGTGGGTTATTGGAAAACGGTAAACACTAAAACTGAACCTTATTACTAACGTGAGTGAGTGAGTGAGTTTGGTTTTACGCCGCTTTTAGCAATATTCCAGCAATATCACGGCGGGGGACACCAGAAATGGGCTTCACACATTGTACCCATCATTACTACAACTGTTTTCTTGACAATTTATTAACACTATCATTATTGGTTTATCCTCACTTTGCCACCAGGCCACCAGGGATTAACAGTAGCAATGTTTATACAAGCATAGGGGCCATATCAAAGTCACCAAATACTGAACTGAGTTCACCCCCTCAATTAATGTCAAAAGTGTTCACTGGCAATATTGGTGAGCGAATTTTCTTATTTGTTGAATAATTACTGATTAACGATCAACGACGTTTCTGGTTGAAACTGTATCATTAAGATTATTGACACAACATAGTGAGTGAGTGAGTGAGTGATTATTGTTTAAAGCCGTATCAGCAATCTTGCAGCTAGACATTCACCCACGGAGTATCTGAGGAATTCCCAGATGTTATCTACCTCTGCTATCTCTGTCCTTGACACACTTCGGCAACAGCACTGACGCCAAGAAACCAGGGTGTGCATCTTCCAACGACTAGATTAACACAATTACATAACAGCTCTTTTCTGAATAATCTAATGTTAATATAGTATTAATACAATTTCAAAGAATATTGAATCTTTTTTGTGTTACACCAACTTGGCAATCTGACATCATTCTCTCTGTAAAGTTAATTACAGTGTAGATGCAGGTCGACTCTGAAGCTGTTAAACAAGTTAACAATCACTCATTTTTCATACGTCAATCCATCAGTCATGGCATGACAGATTAACTATAGTAATATGAAAGAATCAAATGATCCTTAACTTGTTTTGAGTAGCATTTAATAATAATACCAGTACTCTATAAATGGGCATTACCATTGACATTAGCTTCAAGAAAATGCAACATGACAAATTTTCCATTAAGTTGACCGACAGTCAAATGTGTAATCTCAACATGAAATGGCAATACGAAATACATAAAAGTCAACAAAGTAAATTATCTGGTTCTCTCAGAGGAGGCTAGTATACCCCCCACATAATATTCCTAAGGAACACTCATTAATTTCAACTATTACTTTACTCCTTCATAAAATAAAAGTGTCAGCTATACCTACAACAAAGAGTGAGTGAGTATGGTTTTATGCCGCTTTTAGCAATATTACAGCAAAATCATGGCGGGGGACACCAGAAGTGGGCTTCACACATTTTACCCATGTCAGGAATCGAACCCAGGTCTTAGGCATGACGAGCGAACACTTTAACCACTAGGCTACCCGACCACCTCCCTACAACAAAGACTATGTATAGAGAAGGGGAAGACGGACCCATAATTCCAGCATTATCATTGTTGGGCTTCACACATTGTACCCATGTGGGGAATCGAACCCAGGCCTTTGGCGTGACAAGTGAACACTTTAACCACTAGGCTACCCCACCAGCTCTTAGAGATGAATATGTTCCAATAGCTGAATACCAAATAATGTGGTAAGCCAAGACCAACTTAATGTTATAGGTTAACAGATGAGCCATAAATAAACTCAGAATGTTATTGTTTGAAATAACTGCTTCAACTCTTATTGCAATGAACCACGAGAAATTTGATTTCCTAAAGAACCAAGAAATGGTCTGATCTCAGAATGAGTGAATGAGTGAGTGAGTGAGTTTGATTTTAAGCCATTTATTCCAGCAATATCATGACAGGGGAAACCAGAAATGGCCTTCACACATTGTACCCATGTCTGGAATGGAACCGGGTCTTCGGCGTGAAGAGAGAACGCTTTAAGCACTAGGCCACCATACCTCCCCGTATGACAAAGAGAATCAATGGTTGCTACTGGTGAATCTACGTGTATCCAAGCAGTTCAACCTTTTATACTAAACGTGAATGGACTCAACTTGCATGATTGAAAATGACAAACAGAAACTAGAAACAAGTTTTTTTGGTCTTAAACATGAAAATGACAAGGACTGAGTGAGTGAGTTGGGTATAATGCCGCTGTTTTTTAAACATTATTCCAGTTATGTCACGGCGTGTCAGCATAATGTGGGATGAAAGCCCGAAGTGATGCAGGTCTCAGACGTTTACCACTTTGGTGAAACCACAAGGGTATGGTGCTGACAAACCTAGAAACATAATCGGGGCGAACTGGGATTCTAACCCACGATCATAGGTTTCTTGCGTGCCCAGGTCGACGCAACCCCGCACAGCAAATTGCAGCACCTTACACGACTTGGGCACCAGTGCCCCTTGAAAGTCTAGAAATACAATTTAGTGTCCATACAAATATGCCATAAATTTACAGGGAACTATTTCCTCGTGACATTTACAGTAAAGCACCTGTTGATATGTGGGACATGAGTTACATTAGATGAAGAGTGAATTCTGCTGTGTCAGCATGTTCCCCGTTTCCCCAGTTGTATCACACAGTATGGAATACGACCACTATCACTACACCTGGCTCCAACCAATCCAACCATGCCTGTACTGTGTTTCTCTTGGTTGACATATGAACATAGGTGTAGACATTCAACAGCACAAAACAAATATATATATATATACTATCCAGACAGTTAACACTGACAATAGAATCCAGATTTATATACAGTTACAACATCTAGAATTGTTCCTTGTTGCATTCTTAAAATCTTAAAATATTATGAATCACAAAATGACAACAGTTATGTTCTTAAAAGGTGTATGTACACAGCATTAGTTTCTAAAAGCAGTATAAATTCAACAAATTGATTAACTACAAACTCGGAGACTCGAGTGAGATCTAACTTTTAACAAATAAAAAGTCATTTCAGGAAATAAAAGATCTTTAAAAAGTGTATTAGATATTACTACTTCAATATTTACTTGATCATTGGCGATTTTTTTGCCAAAAATATAATATCCATAGAATAATGGAATATAGTTGACCATTTTTTTAACAAACATGATTACTACCGACCAGTATTTAATGTTACTGTTCCCAAATGATACTAAGATAGAGCCCGAAATAAAGATTCTGTTACCATCTGTACAGAGGTTAGGTGTAAGACAAGGATGCATACTTATTCCTTGCTTAACTGCTAATTAATTAATTAACCGTTGATTTTTATTGATTATGTACATTTTCTTGATCTCTTCATCACATATAAAACCAGTCTGTTCAAATATAGCATCTTCTAATCTAAAGGCTTATCTAATTATGTAATATTAAATATGGTTTCTTTTAAAGAAAAAAGATGTTGAGGCATGACATTTGGTTTAAGTTTAACATAACATCCCTTTTGTCTTACCACAATATTAATGACTTTCAGTTTCTAATATTGAATTCTTTAACATTACTGACTGCAAGTGAACAAATTATTTTCATAAAACAAAATAAAAAACAGGTGTGGTGCCTTTGTTTAGAATTTTGTAGAAAAATAATTCAAACCCCTCAAACGGCAATAGGCATTATGCCAGGATAAGGAATTTCTAGAAACAATGGTTTCTAAAATTAAGATCATTTCAATAATTGCACTATCAACACAAAAGTACACGTTGAGTGTACATGCATGTCATAACAAAACATATTTAAAAGTGGGTTAGCATTTCTATGTTAACATAACATTAACTACTAAATGAATATATTTATTTGATAAGAATGTTGTACTGAAATGATTTGATATTAGAATACAATGGCCGCGATTTTGTACACAATGACATACGGATGATGCTTCACACATGAATCTGTACAGGATGGCATAAACACACATGAACACGAACAGCACTAGCAAACATTAGCTAGATCTAACTGGCCTGACTCACAAGCCAAAAAACAGAGTTATCTCCCCTTGATTTTAAAGTCTGTAAGAATGATCTGAGAAAAAGAATGTGAACAAAGTAAACATGATTAAAAAACATAAGTGTAGCTATTGTACTGTCAAATTCAACAAATGTTAGAAACATTTTTAACCAGGTACTCTTTTCGTTGACATGTATGTCAACTGATGAGCTCAATTTGTCAAAAGGTTGGTCATCAAAGCAAATCAGGAATTCACCTGATGGTAGAGCATTCTTGATTATAATATCACTAAAGAATTTAACCATAACAGATATGGCAAAAAATAAATAATAGTTCACAAAAGCATCAGCAAAAATGCACTGTACAGAAGCCTGTGTGATATTAGTTCAGTTAACAGTCATAGAGCCTAATTACATAGGATATAATGCAGCTATCAAGGGGAGATAACTGCGGTGTGAAGACTACGATTGTGATCCCTGCATAGCCTGGCGAACACACGCTGCAAGTAGTTCATCCACCTGGTCACCATCAGAGTCAGGGTCGATGTCGAATTCCTGAAATCAAATCAGTTTCAGTTTCAACAAACATATAAAAAAACGAGGTGAGGTGAAATGGGGTTTAACATTGCATTCAACATTATTTGGAATGATATTGTGACATGCATGCTTGTTGTTAGACCAGTTTGTTTGTTTGTTTGTTGTTTAATGCCGCACTCAGCAACATTCCAGCTATATGACGGCAGTCTGTAAAATAATCGAGTCTGAACCAGACAATCCAGTGATTGACATCATGAGCATCGATCCACGCTTATTGGGATCGATGACATGTATCAACCAAGTCAGCGAGCCTGACCTTCTGATCCCGTTAGTTGCCTTTTACGACAAGCATAGTCGCCTTTTACGTCAAGTATGGGTTGCTGAAGACCTTTACTACACCGGAATCTTCACGGGTCCAAAAACCTATGACGTTTTTTAATTGTTCAGTAGATATTTCTTGCATGTTGACTGTCATACAATGATGTTTGTCTCCAGCTATATTACAGCGGACTGTAAGTATTTGAGTCTAGGCCAGGCAAACCAGTGGTTGATATCTTGTGCCAAGTTCCACACACTCAGAGTAGGAGGACACGCAAAGTCACAAAGCCTGACCACCAGATCCATTTGTGTCACCTCTTATGACATAGGTGGCTGAAGATCTATCTAGCAGTGACAAGATCAACATATTTACAAGAGCTTCAAAGTTTAATTGTGAACAGTTGTCTCCCTTTATTCAGTTGTAAGACCAGTTGCCTCCCTTTATTCAGCTGTAAGACCAGTTGCCTCCCCATATTCAACTGTAAGTCCAGTTGCCTCCCCTTATTCAGCTGTAAGACCAGTTATCTCCCTTTATTCAGCTCTTAGAACAGCCATATCCCTCTATTCAGCTGTAAGACCGCTATAAGGCTGTTTCCACAGACACATCTGGCCTGGAGTTGGCCTGTCTGTGGCCATTAGTGGAGGCATAGATCTACAATACAGAGGGAGGCTGACACACACTTCCCAACTAAATCTGTCCTGCGCCTGTATGCTTAATTCCTATGTCTCATCCATGACATTACGCATGAGGCTGCACGATGCAGCAGCACACAGACATACACTCACTCCAGACTACTGGACTTATATAGCGACGTGCATGCTCGGGGGTCCAAACTTCTGCCGTTTTTTTAGTGCTAGCTCACTTAGATCCCATGGATGCCCCATTCAGACACAGTGTACTGACTCGGAGATGACCAGTCCTTGTTTTTTCCCCTCAATGCTGAGAACCAGGCAGGGTTACTATCTTGTAATCTCTGGGTTCGAATCCCGGTTCGTCCCAATTATGTTTCTAGGTTTGTCAGCACCATACCCATGCTCGTGGGTTTCACCGAAGTGGTAAACGTCTAAGACCTGCATCACTTCGGCTTTCCTCCCACATTAAGCTGACACACCGCGATATGACTGGAATACTGTTAAAAGCAGCGTTAAACCCAACTCACTCACTCACTCTTGTAATGTCTTTCGGTATGACAAAGCTAGGGGTCGAGCCACAGACCTTTCCCGACGCTTGATCCACCACACCACGCAGGCGGTCTCACTCATCAGTCAGTGAACATAGTTCATACAGCGTTGGCAATACAAAATTCAAACCCTGAAGGTCATTTCAAGGACTAAAATTACTTTTTCAAGTACATTTTACTAGTACTAATTCCATGTGAAAATATGCTTGTTCTGTCACCTGCTTGACACACAACCACACTTGTGGTCATATATGTGTAATTGAGGAAAGAATCACAATTATCGGAAAATAAAACTAAACTGTGACAAAATATCAACTTCAAGTGCTTCTCTAGTGCTTTGCTTTTATCCCAAAACAAGTATTCAGATCCTGATTTCATAATAATGACTTTTTAAGAACAACGCTGAAATACAAGTACTTTTCCAGTTTGTGCAAACCATTAGATATCAGCATTATTACAACTGGAAACAACAACAAACATCTGCAAACTGTCAACATAAAATCCTCAACATAAGATATTTTGTAATATAGTCAAAAACACATGCAAAAAACACTTTCATGATTCAAACATCAATACCAATGCAAAAATACTGAGTGAAAGACATTTCACCATATATTCTAACACATGACCAAAAAACAATTTCACGACTCGATGTCAAATACGATGTCAAATACGATGTCAAATACGATGTCAAATACGATGTCAAATACGTATAATCCAACTTTTTGATAGGACCAATTTCCCATTTTCATTTTCAGTCCAGTCTGTGCAATATGAGTCCCCCGTCTACACATCTGAACAATCACCCCGGTCACAGCCACCACAGATGCACCGCCGCTGCAGCCCACGAGCAATGAAGCCTCGCAAACCATTGACACATGTGCTCAATTGATGGTTCCCAGGGGGACGCTCAGTGGAAAACCTTTTGCCTGGTCCTCAGCTATCAATTATGACTGAACAGTTGACAGGGCACTATGTTATTGCAAAGCAGCAATCTAGCCCTTTCTCCTCGAGGACTACCGCAACCAGACAAGTAGTGAAAAGCCACACTTTTTTCCTGTTTTCTTCCATAACAACTAACAGATTGGTAGAACGAATGTTGGAGATTTTTAAAGCCTTATTTTAAAGCCTGTAGGTAGGTATGGTTGGCAATTGGGCTTATTTGATCCGATTCTTGTAGAGAGTGGATGATAGTTACCCAGTATGCAATGTTATGTAGCATACTAACAAGTCTCACCCCACCCCTTTCTCATAAATCTTTTTTGTTTGACATTAAGGACATGACATGTTATTACTACTGTTTGTTTGTTGTTTAACCCCGCAATCAGCAATATTCCAGCTATATGACGGGGTCTGTAAATAATCAAGTCTGGACCAGACATTCCAGTGATTGACATCATGCACATTGATCTACCCAATTGGGATATGATGACATGCATCAACCAGGTCAGCAAGCCTGACCACCCTATCTTGTCAGGCACCTCTTATGACAAGCATGGGTTTCTGAAGAGGGAGGGAGGAAAAGGTATGAGGGAGGAGGAAGGGGGAGCGTGTGGGAGGGAAGGAGGGAGGAAGAGGGTGAGGAGGAAGGGTGAGGAGGGGGTAGGGGGACGGAGGAAGGGGGTCCAGAGGTAATTAGGAGCAGGTCACTCAAACATATGACAGTCTTTAGGGGAGGGTCATAAAAAATGATACTCATATTTCAGTCATGGTAAAATAATCATTTTATATTGATATGATTTAAGCATAATAGCACTTTGTCTTTACAGGGAGGGTCATGAATAAAACTGTACAAGAACAATGGGAGAGCCATCCAAAAATATGACAAGCGTTATGGGAGAGTCATTATTTTCAGTATGTTAGTGCATGAAACATCTCTGACACACCAGCCCTGAAATAAATGACCGGGACCTGACCATGCTTACTGTAATGCAGTATGTGAGAGAGCATGATCGGGAGTTTTAATGAGGTTAGGATCAAAACAAACTCACAATGTTTTGGTATCAGGTACTTTGTGTGTTCTATCAGATTTGAATTAATTCCACAGTGCGCCATCACGACCCCTACTTAATTTCAAGGTGCGCCATTTGGAAATTGAATGTGCCGATGGGTCGACCTAGAATTAACTCTGTACATACCAAACACATTGTATGCAGGTTCTACTGTTCTCCCAATTTATCCATATTCACGTAACTATATCTTTAACTCCCATCAACTGCAAATGGGGAAACCAGAGATATTTGACTCTCAGTTCTAGCAAATTGTGACACTAAAATTCCCTCTGGTGGTGAAAAAAAACATTCTATGTTTTGTATCTCTCAAATACAATTTGCCACTCAATTTAATTTTCGAGAAAATGACAGAGTTGGGCCTTAATTCTGATCCTAATCTGTACGGCCGGATCAGTTGTGTATGAGAATCAATTACTAAAGCTCCCAACAAATTCAATTAGCCTTCTCAGTTAACTTCACCCAATGGTAGGCTTCGGAAACAATCCGCTGTTGAAACTCACAGACTTTCTTTGGGAGCAAATTCTCAAAGGTTTCTTAAGTTTGTTAGAGGAGTTTCTTAATTAGCCCTCAAAGTCCTCAGACAGGTCGAGGAGGGAGTTTCCCTTATTGCCTTCTTTCAAGCTGACAGTTTTAATTTTGATTTTTTTAAATTTGAGTTAAAATTATGGAAGACTTTTGCTTTTTGACACTGCTTGTCCAACTTGAACCATTCATCTGACAGAAAAAAACAACCCTGCATATACCCCAAATGTCCAGATTTTGTACTAATTTGTATTATTACTTTATCTTGAAATAGAATTAATTATAATTTTTGTCCTACTTAAAAAATAGCATAATATAATTATTTTCAAGAAACAAGGACAAAACATTGCTGTTCTAAAATGGAGGGGGGAGAAATGAGGTACTTGAGGGGAAGGATATGTGAAAGAGTATTGATACTTGAAGGGTAGTATGGGTGAAATAGTATTGATACTAAGAGTGAATGATACTTTGAGAGCAGGTGTGAAAGTATTAATACTTAACACAACATGCTTGAAGAACAGTTTGCGTGAAAGAGTATTCATACTTTGAAGGTAGGGTGGGTGAAAGAGTATTGACACTTGAGAGGCAGTTGGAGTGATTGTGATCAAACAATCAGTCAGGTCAGAGATCGTGACCACACAATCACCCTAGATCGACATCAAGAGCAAACAACCGCCCTAGATCGACATCAAGAGCAAACAATCAGCCTTGGCCAAAATGATGACCAATCAATCAGCCTAGGTCAACATCATGATGAAACAATCACCCTATATCGACATCATGACCAAACATTAGCCTAGGTCAACATCATGATGAAACAATCACCCTAGGTCGACATCATGACCAAACAATCAGCTTAGGTCGACATTGTGACCACAAAATCAGCCTAGGTTGACATTGTGACCACACAATCAGCCTTGGCCTACATTGTGACCACACAATCAGCCTTGGCCTACATTGTGACCACACAATCACCCTGGGTCGACAACGTGACCACACAATCAGCCTGGGTCGACAACGTGACCACACAATCAGCCTTGGCCGACATTGTGACCACATAATCACCCTGGATAGACATTGTGACCACACAATCACCCTAGGTCGACAACGTGACCACACAATCACCCTGGGTCGACATTGTGACCACACAATCACCTTGGGTCGACATCGTGACCACACAATCACCCAGGGTCGACATCGTGGCCACACAATCACCCTGGATAGACATCGTGACCACACAATCACCCTGGGTTGACATAAAGCAGACATGACTAACCTCACGAATCTCTGACATCGTGTGAAAGTGCAAGGTAATGCCTACATAAAACAATGAAACCAACAAAGATGGAAGACATAAAAAATACTCACATCATTTATTGATTTTAATAGTTTAGCGATGAGTTTTCGGACTGATGAAAGTTTCTGCTGGGATTCCTCGGCCTCCTGTTTCCGCACTGACGCCTCTGTCTGGAAGTTGCTGACAAGCTGAAACACATGACACGACAGGTAACATGATTGGTCACATGACAACAACAACTGTCATGTCCTCACACTTCTAAGCGGTTTCATTTATTTGTTTGTTGTTTAACGCCGCACTCAGCAGTATTCCAGCTGCATGATGGTGGTCTGTAAATAATCGAGTCTGGACCAGACAACCCAGTGATTGACATCATGACCATCGATCCACGTAATTGGGATACAAAAACATGCATCAACCAAGTCAGCAAGCCTGACCGCCCCATCCCGTTAGTCGCCTCTTACGACAAGCATAGTCGCCTTTTATGGCAAGCATGGGTTGCTGAAGACCTATTCTATCCTGGATCTTCATGGGTTCTAAGTGGTTTCAGATTAAAAAGAACTCGAGTGGAACAATGAATAATTGTTACAATATTAGTATATAGTTTATTAAAATCACACAGAATTGAAAATATGCTTGAATGATACCGGACTTACATTCCCTCTCAGGGCATAAAAGAAAAAAGCAATATGATAAAGGGTCAAATTATACACACCCTTCTAAGGCCCTTCTCATAGTGGTCGAAGAAGTCATCGAGTGGGAAGCCAGCCAGCTCCGGCAGCGACATGGCTGATATCGTCTCCTTGTCCATGATCCACTGTGGAGGAAGGAAATACCGAAGACACGTCCTGGAACAACAAGCAATTGTCTCAGTCCACGAGCCCAAACTGTAGAGGTGAAACAATACATTGGTGCACCGGTGCATCGGGATACACGATACATTTTTTACTGTATTGATGCAAGACGATACACATGCTAAAATAAATTACTGCTCGTTTAATGACCCCTAGCGTTTTCATCAGTAAAAAACAAACAAAATGTGTTGTCAATAAGTTCACAACTAAAAACAGCCACAACGAACATGTGTCTACAGCTTGCTTTTCTTTTGAACCTGCTCTGAAATATTAATAGTAAAGACATTTCCACACAATATCATGTAAATATGCATATTGCGATATATGTCTTGACCTTGCTGTATTGTTTCACCGCTACCAAATTGTGACTTTTAACCAATCAAAAATCAACATTCAATGCATATTAAAAGGCTGTTCATAAAATTCAACTGTCAAAAGCTAGGTCTTACAATTCAAATGTAAAACCTTTTAGCAGGTCTCACTTGAATGTTGTACCTCTCACAAGGTGACTGTGATAGTATCATACCTATAATACTATAGGCAAAAATGGCAGTAGGTTTAGAAACCGCCCCAAACCGACACCAAAAATATCTCCTTTTCATGTCATGTTTCTTGTTTTGTTTGTTTATTTATTTGTTGTTTAATGCCACACTCAGCAATATTCCAGCTATGTGACAATGGTCTGTAAATAATCGAGTCTAGACCAGACAATCCAGTGATTGATATCATGGGCATCGATCCACACAACTGGGATCAATGATATGCATCAACCAAGTCAGCGAGTCTGACCACCCAATCCCGTTAGGCGACTCTTACGACAAGCACAGTCGCCTTTTACGGCAAGCATGGGTTGCTGAAGACCTATTCTAACCCGGATCTTCACGGGTATTTGAGAAATTGACTTGGAGAATGAGTGAGTATGGTTTCATGTCACTTTTAGTTTATTCTAGCAATATAACATCAGGGACACCAGAAAAGGGCTTGTACCTATGTTGGGAATCAAACCTGGGACTTCAGCATGATGAGCAAACACTTTAACCAGTTGGCTCCCCCACCACCCCTGACTTGAAGATGAGTCTTAGCAGTCTTACCTGTAACCATTAGCTATCTCATCGGTGATCTGGCTGGACTGAGAAGACGTGATAGCAGGGGTGGCCGTTGAAGATGTGGGTGCCTCTGTGGCAGTGTCATGTGATGAGATGGATGCAGGAGAGGGGGGTCCAGTGGTGGATGTGTCACCAGTTTGACCGGGCTGAAGGGGAAACAGAGATATCATTGTATATGGTGGATAACAACCTCATATCTTTATTCCATCCAGGCAATGTATTAGATTGACTGATTACAACATCTAGACCATAAACTAAGTTTTACCATGGTTACTCAATCTATTTATATATATTTAAAACTAGAGAATTGTTGTTTCTCTGTTGTTCAACGGCAGAAATATTCCAGCTTTTTGACGGCGGCCGGTAATCAATCAGGACCAGATATTGTAATGTTGTGTTTATTTGTAGTTTAACGCAGCACTCAGCAATATTCCAGCTATATGACGGCGGTCTGTCATAATCAAGTCTGGACTAGACAATCCAGTGACTGACATCATGAGCATCAATCCACGCAATAGGAACACGATGCCATGCATCATCCAAGTCAGCGAGCCTGACCACCCGATCCAGTTAGTCGCCTCTTACGACAAGCATAGTCGCCTTTTACGGCAAGCATGGGTTGCTGAAGACCTATTCTACCGCGGATCTTCACGGAGACAAGCATGGGTTGCTGAAGACCGATACAACCCGGATCTTCTAAGGACTGTAATATTGTCAGCAAAGATCCAATCGATCAGGGTGTGATGATACGCAATCAACAAACTCATCGAGCCTTGCCAACCGATCCATTTGGTCATCTCTTACAACCAGCCTAGGTTGCTGAGGACCTATTCTAATCCAGGATCCCCATGGGCTTTCAAATTTAAGAAAGTAAGGGAATGCTTTTATGCCACTGTTTAGCGGTTTTGCATCAATGTGATGGAAGACAGCACTATCTGGCTTCATACAAAGCATAAACAACAGGATCCCAACTCTAAATGCTTTACCAGAATTTAAACTCAAAACAAACTGTTCTGTTTAAAACTGCATGCCTTACCTTTGATGTTCTGATGTCGGAACCCCCTTTTTCAAACCTGAATAAAACAAACACACTCTTCACAATTCTGCATGACATATAATTTAATTGGCATCTCAGAAAATTGTCTCATCTCCTCAACTTGAGAGGAAATTGGCTTTTACATCTTGTTCAAGGTTTTGGTACTCATAAGGTGAGTAGTGTGCATGCATATTTTCACCAGTCCAGACTAATGGTGGTTTTATAGTGCTAGCCCACTGAGACACCATGCTACAGTTTCAAATGGATACCCAAATCAGACACAGTATACCGACTCAAAGCCGACCAGTCCTTGTTTATCCCTTCATGCCAAGAGCCAGGCAGGATAACAAACAAGTAATGTCTTTTTGTGTGACATGGCAGGGGATCGAAACACAGACCTTTTTTGCTAACCAGGCGAGACTCTGAATTTAAGGGTAATAGCCTCTTTCGACAGTCAGCCTTGTGTGTATACTAGTGATTGAAAGATTGCATTGATAACACTATCCATCACATGATAAATCACTATACAATTCATATTATGCCCATCTGTACCAATGCACCCCTAGTGCATACAAGTCAGAATCTGTGACCAAGCCACAAGTTTGTTTGTTTGTATTTAACGCCTCACTCAGCAATATTCCAGCTATATGATGGCAGTCTGTAAATAATCGAGTCTGGACCAGACAATCCAGTGACTGACATCATGGGCATCGATCCACACAATTGGAACACGATGACCTGCATCAACCAAGACAGAGAGCCTGACCACCTGATCCTGTTAGTCACCTCTTATGGCAAGAAGGAGTTGCTTATCTACTTATTGTCTACCCGGGTCTTCAGGGGCCAAAGCCAGAAGTGAGGTGAGGTGAAATGGGGTTGAACATCTTGTCCAAGATTATTGCACTTATATAGCAACGTGCATGTACGTGTGTGTGTGTGTGTGTGTGTGTGTGTGTGTGTGTGTTTGTGTGTGTTTGTGTGGCTGCTAGTACTAGTCCGAACTGATGCCGATATATAGTGCTAGCTCACTGAAATACCATGCCGCAGTTTAACATGAATACCCCACCCAGACAAAGTATACTGACTCCGGGCCGACCAGTCCTTGTTTTAGCCCCTTAATGCCGAGCGCCAGACAGGGTAACAACAAGTACCATCTTTTAACGTCTTTTGGTATGACGCGGCCGGGGATCGAACCCCGGACCCTCCGCTCTCTGGGCGGACGTTCTACCACTAGACCATGGAGGCGGTCCAAAGCCAGAAGTATTTATCCAACATGCCAGTCTTATCAGAGCCATTCAACAGAACATTTTCAGGGTTTGAGTTTCTTGAGTAAACAACAAGCTGCATGTCAACAACAAAACAAAAACAGAAACATTCAAGCTTACCACCTCTGCTCAATCTATCATAGACAACGTCTCAATACAGACAGCCATTTCTTTTTTTTTTTCAAGGCCATACCTTTTTCACAATTTGTTTTACCAAAATTTGGGTCAGTAGGTAAAACAATTTAAAAATTAAATATTTTATTTTTTTCCACAACATGTTAAGTAGGTAGGGGAGTTTTTAAGATAAATTTTCATAAATGTAACTATTGTATTTGAAATAACTTATTTCTATTGATAGTAACAGTAAATAAGTTGGGCTTTCTTCTTTCACCATTCAATTTCCTGGAGTCGACAGATTTGTAAACCAAATCTAAAGGAAAGTCTTTCCAAATGCTCTTGGGACAGAGTTGCTACAGATTTTCACAAGTCTTGGACCAGAGGACCAGTGTCATTGTCAAAGCCTGGCTTATCATGTGCGGGGTTCGTCAGTCCAGTAATCCAAGGCGTGTAAGATTCACGAAGAACGTTTGTGGACTGACCACCTCTACCATCATTGAGTGTGTGAGTTGGGTTTTATGCCGCTTTTTTACAGTATTCCAGTTATATCGCGGGGTGTCAGTTTAATGTGGGAGGAAAGCCTGAAGTGATGCAGGCCTCAGACGTTTACCACTTCGGTGAAACCCACGAGCACGGGTATGGTGCTGACAAAATTAGAAACATAATCGGGGCGAACCGGGAATCAAACCAACAATCATAGGTTTCTGGCGTGCCCAAGGGACGCAACTCTGCACAGCGAATCATGACACCTTAAACGACTGGGCCACCCTTGCCCCAACTCTACCATCAGCATGATCAGGTAGATGGCAACTCTGTAGTAGAGCACTACTGCAGACGAGTGAAAATACACTTAATTTCTAACCGTGTCAACCTTGTATAAGGTCATTGCCTGCACTAAGCCAATTATCCACGACTTTAAAGAAAATCTAGCAGCAAGCTGACAACTCAAGAGACATGGGCATAGACACTTATTTACAGCAGTGGTTTCTTCGTGTCTATATCTGATGTAGCCCTCTTCTGTCGCAACCAATTCTAGTTACCAAGGTTACCAAATATTTTTTTTAAATAATTAATAATACTTCAATTGAAAGTATGTTTAATTGAACCCTTGTTTGTGTATATTTAATGTTTCAGTTATTTTTTTTTAAAAGCCACATGTTTGAAGCAGTGTTTATCCAAGTTGATAGTTTTAGAAATTGGCACTAGTCCTGTAGTCCTCACCAAACTGCCCAATAGTTAAGGTATCATAAGGACTAGTAGAAATTTGCCATTTTAAGGGCTTTGCTATATGTTATCATTATAAGGACTAGTGGCCTGAATCTGTTAGTTTGTACCGCTGGTTGACAAAAATGAAGGGCCTTTCCGCTCCACTTGTGACAATTAAAAGGTAGGGTCATTATCTATAGGGGTGATGGAAATCAATCGCATTTATTGTGTATGTTTCACCAATATTTTTGTTGTCTCAAATTAGTGTATTTCTAAACTTGCTCCCGTCTCTAATCCCGTAATATAATTCACAGGGTAAATGGATACTGTTTGCCAACTTACACCATAAATCAGGCAAACAGAAACAAAAATCTCCAAAATCATTCAACCACTAAATTGAGGAAAATGACAACACTTCAACACCCATACAAATCCCTAATCTCTTCACTCAGTTATTACAGGGTAAGGCATTGAGTCATTAAAGACACATACATTTACACTTAGAATAATGTGGCAGCATTGTAGGGACAGGTCCGAGTTGCGCAAAGCCAACAGATGGCAGTGTAATACAGTGCCCCCTAGCTGACGTAGCCTATCATTAGCTCGGGGGATCCCCTCAGGGGGCATAGAGTCCATTAGAAAACCATCGTCTCCCTTTCTACCTCAACCACCCTTAATTACACTGACAGAACAGGGAGTCCTTGAAAAATCAATTTTCATTTAATTTTGAAGTTGTTTGTACTACTTAGAGGGTAACTGCCTCGAAATAAAACATCTTCCTCAATATGTCTCATTTTCTGACATTTAAAAAATAAATTTAAAAAAACAAAACAATAAAATAAAAATTAAATAAATGAAATGAAATGAATAAATGAATGTGTTAAAACTAGTTCCCTAACCACTTAAACAAAATCATTAAAATATTAAATAAACAAACAAATGAATGGGCTAAGAAATTAGTACCGGTACCCTTACAAACTAACAAATCCATTATATCCCTTAGATATGTAAACTTGTGCCAGTAGAGTGAGTGAGTATTTTGGTTTTACACCGCTTTTATCAATATTCCGCAATATCACGACGGGGGACACTGTGCCAGTAGAAACAAACAAAATGGTCAGTGCTATCCATTGCACTAACTATAATCATGCTCAAGTTTATAAATTTCAAATCAGGCAAATTTATCCCAATTGTTTTTTTCTGTACATACTTTCTGCCCAATATGTGTTGAAATGTGGACCTATGTTCGAAACGCAAATCATAATTCAATTTAATAACCCAGCACAAGTCATTTGTACCACCAAGCCACATTATCTGAGGGTATTAGGCATAACTTCACACAACTAAGTAATTAGATCCAATTGGTTTTCCGGCCATCAGTTCTTTGTTAAGTAATACTACTTCAGAAGATAATGAACGCTGAAGGTGTACAAGCCCCTGGTTGTGGTACCCGATGACGAATGGGGTTCTTATCTACCTACGTACAAAAGCCGCACACGACCAAGCTTCACGCTCTGCCGCTCACCACCGCCCTCTCCGGGGGAGCTAGAATGAGAGGCTGGTCCCTCCCATTGTCCTGCAATTGTCTAGACGTAATCCTTGGGTCTTCGCACATAAAACAAGGGTGTTGATTTGACAACATTAAGGCTAAGGTGGTGACACAATTTTCAGATAAGCAGAGCCTGAAATTTTACGCCTTCTTCACCTTAGAAAAGTTGAACCCCAGACGGAAGCCGAGACAAATTGCACGTTTAAACGCCACGCTTTCAACCCAGTTATTATATTTTCATTAACGTCACCAGGCCTAGTAATTTTCATATAAAGCTCACAGTAGCCCGTGACATGAGATTTAGATAGTCCCGAGGAGCATCTCGAATCAATTGGATGATGTGCCCCCTTCCGAGAGAACAATTGTTTTCAATTAGTTTCAATTGACGATTTTTGTACGAGACTGAAGGGGGTACTCCTGCCCTGCCTCCAGGGACGAGGGGGAGGAGCAAGCTGGGCATACACTTTCACATTTTTAAGAAATATCTTAAACTGACTCTGACTTTTTTCAATTACACGTTTAAAGTGACGTAATTATGATAATATATGCTTCAGTTTGGTCATGATAAAACAATTACATGGTCTAGGTGACAATATCGTAATGATATACATAAAATTTAATCACCTACCGATCCAAATCAAACTTTCAGATAATTAAACAATCTTGTACAGTACATTTTATTTTATATTTTTTCCGACCTATCGACCAAATGTTTAACTATCAAAATCCTGGCCTTACTTTTCTTGAGCTTGCAAATTTTTAAGTGAGTGAGTTAGTATCGTTTTACGCAACTTTTAGCAATATTCCAGCAATATCACGGCGGGTACACCAGAAATGGGCTTAACACATTGTACTCATGTCGGGAATCGAACCCCGGGTCTTCGGCATTGCAAATTTTTA